GAAGCAGATGATAGGCAGGTAGGTAGGTGGTCTTATATCTCGCACTTAATAAACCTTTACCGTTTGCGCTTTCCTGGATTGCTTATGTAGCTTTTTACTTGTAATTACATGTAGTTGGAAAACAAATTATTGCGTGCATGCTTGGCTGGCCGAAAAAATGTTATTTATTATTATTCCTTTACACCTTTTAGAGGCGCATACGCAAACGTATAGTAATAATTTTACTGTAGAACATAAAATAATAGTAGAGTATGAACTTTTAGTGCGAACGTTCGGTAATCGAAGTCATAGCCGGACGACAACTAGCGCGATACTGGCCGCAGTGACATACGTCATCTACTTGATAGCACTGCTCCATAGACGGTGATAAATTTTATTAACAGCACACCAAATTAGAGCATGCCAATTCACCCTATTCGGTCTCCTCCGGGAATCATCCGCCAGCGGATGATTCCCGGCTAGAAGGCGGAATAAAGTTGTACACTGTTCTTTTCCAGATATGTTACTTAAAGCCACCGCGGACGTTCACGCCCTGCGCTAGTTTAATTACATGGGTGCTAAACGTGGTCCGCTAAAGCTAAGAGCAGTTTCAGCCTGAGTGTGCCGATGACAGTAGAAAAGCTCAGTAGGAGCTAAGTATAGACGACTAAGACTATTGTACTAAGCCGCTTCGGCGTTTTGATCAAGTGCTTGAAAGGTTCTGCAGTGTAATCGTTCACCGTAATTAGGTTTTCTTTAACTATGACTCTTAAAAAACGAGATAGTAAAAACAAGATGTTTGAAGAAGAAGGTACACAGAACTTCCTCATAGGCCCTGATGTTAGCCTGAGGCAAGAATATTCTTAAGGCAGTTATTTCGGCAGCAGCTGGGAATCTGAAAAAGATTTAAGTGTGTTAAGTTGTCATCCAAATATTATTGAGCCCTCTGTAGGATTTGGTGGCTGTATTTTTGGGAAAAAAAAAACAAATATTGTGTTTTTTTTTTTAAAGAAACAGGTTGGCAATCGCAAAGAGGTACAAATATTTTCAAATGTATTACTTGCTATGTTTCGAGCAATTTAATATTCGCGTGAAGTTTGAGCTCCACCGTCGGATAACGAGGTAGCTATTGGAAGTTCAAAAAAGTAGATGATTCGGAAAAGCAAACTGAAAGCCTGGTTCTACTCGGAGGTCTGGCTAAATGGTGAAACAAATGGAAATATTGCAGGACCCTAGGTTAGGTCGTTAAGTAATGTAGAAATGAAAATGAATTACTAGAAGTAAAACATGTGATCGCATTGCTGGAACACAAAAAACGGAAAAATTATAGCAAGAGTGACGGAATGGCTAGAACAAAAAATAAGCAACGAGATACAAAATTTACCAGTAGTTTTTTTTATAGATAAACTTTCCAGTTTTATAGAAACTTTCCAGTGCGAATACTCGGGTTAAAGATCTAATTATAACGGAACAACAAGAATAATCGCAGAAACATTGAATTAAGTAACTGAATACGGAGCCCAGTAGCGGGACAGAAAGGGTTAGAGAATAAGTATTCGAGTGTGTAGTAAATCTGATTCTATAATGTTACATCTAGCCTAACTCTAGACCAACTGCATTACCGACATCTTTGCAAACGTCTACTTGCTGCAATTATATCCTATAACTTCGTTTCAGCAGTGGTTGTATATTATGATTAAGAAAAAATTTATCCCAGTGTCTTGTAAGTGAAGTAGCTACCGTATTTACCTTTTTTTCAAATTGAAATGTCGATTATTGCTAGAGGAGGATCTATTATATTTTACTCCGAGGCCTATCGATTTGTGGTAAAACTTACGCCCCATTCTTGAAACACCACGCTAAATTTTTACCCCTAAGATGATAGCTTTAAGTCGAAAGCTCAACTGTGTATATAGAAATGTGCATCATATTTCAATTTAAATTTATTGTCTTAAAATTTGCTGTCAAAAATTACCCCTTATGTAGGACTTCCTGTAACAAACTAACGGCCGTTGTATTGAATTTTTTGAAAAAAATTAAGCAAAATGTTGTTTAAATCAATCCCTATAGATTTTCAATAGGCATGTATAGGAGATTCTGAACAAAAATCCCAGAAAGAACGATTTTAAAAACTAGTTGGCTAGTCATCATCAGCGAATGAAAGATTTATGCTGCACTGCGCAAATAGAAATTGTAGTTTCATTGCAGAGCTACACTTTTGCAGTTATTCCATTTGTGAGTGCGTAACTTCCATTCAGTTATCTTAGTTACAGGAGTTTTATGAGTCTGGCTCAGTTAATCTATCAGCGACAGCTGTCCCGTTGTGGTCATCTTGCTGTAGGATGCTGCCAGTGATATATGATTCTAACAATTATCTAGGAACTGTTCTTGCACTTCTAGACCTGTTCGATCTTACAAGGTAACTACAGTTCCCTTGAAACTTTATTACACTAGTTCTGTTATCCCGTTATACTCTCCCGTTGAAATAACCATGTACATTTGATTTGTTTTAGTTGTAACTTGGAGTCGATGACCTACCCCACTGGTTTAGGGCAGTTGCTCTATGACCTTGTCCCCAACAGCAATTGCCTGCCTCCCTGGAATCATCCTACTTCACTAATAAAGTGTTCTAGTAACCTCGTTACTCTGCTGTAAATAATCCGTTAATAGAATCAAATCCCATAATCCATATATTATCATGTATTACGCAAATGAATCAGACTGATATTACGCTTTTCGTATAAAGCAAAGAGAGGGCTTTTCAGAAAAAAAATAGTCGCATATTTGAAGAAAGTGGTTTATATGGCATCAATCATAAATCACTATTAAACTGAAACGTTCGAGAAATTCTCAACAATTATCGAACTAATCGCCTAAAATAAATTAAGATTAAGCTTTATTAAAGATTAAAAAAAAGCTTTAAGTAAAAAAGTGTACAGTTAGCTTTGATTTAAATTCAGATCTCTCTAGAATGAATCTTTTCCAACCCTGAACAAATGAGCACAATTCGACCATTTTACGGGGTTGTTTTCGGACTAGCAAACGAACAGACACAGAATAATAGTAGTACCGTAATAGAAAAAGCCACAGACTTCACATCGTGTATAGCCTGATACAATTAATTTCATTTAATTAAATTTGGTGACCTTACGCCGAGCCTAAAATAGACCACTGCAATTACCTTACCCATTAAATCCGTTATTCTCCGCCAGCTCTTTCATTGTCTGATATAATAGAAACGGGATTTTTCAATGAACATTCATTGGAAATTCTGTCAAAGAAATCACTTGAAAGCAGCTGAAAACGCATTTTCATTCCCTTAGATTCCCCCCATAGATATGGCCAATAACATTTTCGCCCTTTACACTCCATTTTAAGTGTAGAAATATATAACTGTATTTTTATTTAATTACTAGAAATCTGGAAGATTGGCATCAAGAAAACTGCTTTTTCATAAGACATTATTTTTGGTTTTCACCCTTTCAAACAACAATTTTCGGCCAATAAAAATTAGGTTTATGAAGTCGCATGTATCCTGTTCAACCTATTAAGGTTGTTCGATTATTTCCAAGAAAATATCTTATCTTTTACACAATAAAAAGTCCTCATCTTTATGTCATCTTTGCGAAGACACTACCATATTCCTATTTTAATCTTTTTCGCACCGACATATCATCACGTTTATCAATGAGAACATCTATTGCACTGTTACTCAGCTAGCCGAGATCCATCGACTGATTTGAAGAGTACGGGCCAATATTGCATTACCTTACACGAGCTAAATTTTTTCCTAATTTTGGTATTTCTTTCAGAAAATCTTTCAGAGGATATTAAAAAAAGGAAGATCTTTTAAAACATTTGCCATGCTAGCTGCCACGACCTTTTCAGTCAACTTTTATTGCAAAAAAAACCGTTCGAACCGTTCATTCGGAACAAATTTCTACTCAACCCGACATCTATCAATTAGTAACAAAAAATCGGTTAGGCATCTGTTTTTTTTTAGAACTTATTTTCTGTTCCTGTACTTTTCGACTAAAAATCCACTTCCTTTGCCCACCGCAGTCGAATGTCTTCAAACTATTATTTCTGGCCAGCTATTGTAGCCGATACTGATACGAGACCCATTTCCGATTGGCAGCTGGGTCTTTTTCGGCTACGGCCGATGATGCCTTCTTGCAACTGGAAAGCTAGCAAGCAGTTAGTTTAGCTACAAGTAGGCCTAAAATTTGATATGGATAACTTAAAGAAACTTAAGAATAGATAGTATTGAATAATAATAATAATAATAGCTGATATCAAGGGCATAGCGAGTAATCGACTCTAATATTCGTAACTAAGCTGCTCTTGTAAATAAATGGTCCTATTTAATGAAGCATTGATACCACTCGTTGGGTTAGTGTCACCATAATCCAGGATGGCTATCGCAAATAGATATTCATTTAATTGTGTATCGGATCATTGATAGATATTGACGCGGTTTCAAGTGCCGAGTAGACTAGATTGAAATTTGCTTACGGCTAATTTCTGAGCTGTGTAGAAAAAGAGTAAATAAGTATGCGAGAACACTGAAGCTTGGTAATTTCTCTCTAATAAAATTAGCTCACTGCACTTTATAAAGTAAATGTAAATTCTACATAGCTACTTCATTGTTATTATTATTATACTATTATATTATACTAGTAAAAACAAAATGCACACGCTACTGGTCATCCGTTCGTACAGTAAACACCCGCGAGCTCGCTGTGGTACGAATGCGCCGCGTTATGCGATTTAATTAATTATAATGCCTGCCCGTTTTGCTAGCTTCTACCTCACTTGGGGCAATACCCAGTTGTCATTGAATGAGTAACTATCGATCTATATACCTCCGCGAAGTTAAGCAGACGGCCATTAAAAAGTCAAATACCAGAATAAACTTGTTTGCCATTAGCAGAAAATCTGTTGCTTTATTAACTCCACGGTGTTATGCTCATGGAGTAACACAGTAGCCATTCTTCTCCTCACTGTGAGTAGGTCTGGGGTCCCATCTCGGCAACCCCTATGTTTACCCGCTGTGATATAGCAGTGGCGCAGGAGTCACTCAGGGCATCAGTGGCGGCCGCAATATGACAATAAACAGCGCGAAGGCATCGTGGCCGACAAACGTCATAACATGAAATAGTAAATGAAGCTTGCATAAACCGTCACCAGCGTTTCGGCCGTCAGTGAGCTTACTCTGTAACGAAGAATCACAACTCTATGAAAAGGATGACTTCTGAGGAAAACGGCATTATCACAATTTGGACAAGGCCAATCTGTCCTATCCGTGTGCCTCTTACACTACATACATGTAGATACACAGCGCGCGCAAGGCAACAGGTATCATGGTACAAAATGGTAATCAATGCTACATAGACTGAATAAGTGAAAGTGTTTGGTAGGTATCTTTGAGTGTATAGTGATGAACTATAAAGTACTACGGTTTATATATAACTATTTCTAAAGGTCTTGCTATCGTAATCACTGCCATTCACCAAATTCCAGTTCTTACTGGTTTTGTCACGCACGGTATTCTGTATTTTATGACGTATTGAACACGGGACAGATTATTATCAGGTCAGTTTTAGTAGGGTTTCTCGCGTTTAGGGGATTTCCCGGTGCTTGAAATGCTTCAACCAAGTTATTTATATTATTTATAGATTGAGATTACAATTCTATCTAGTGCATTATAACTTTATACAGAGGGTAGAGTAAAAATTGAATATTTCAACACTATTTAAGATAATTGCGCCTGTTGAATAAGCGAAAGCTTACCTAACTATTTACAAAATTAATAGTTGTTGTTATTTTAAGAAAATCTATAAAATTTTGTTTGTTCCTATTCCTTGCACCCTTACCATAATAAGGCCGAATATATTGGATCGTGAGCGTTCTATCGCGCGATTGATTAATGTGGAGTTGTATATATATCGCAGAGCGACTCGAGCGAACCTGTGATGAAAAGATATCGACACCAGCCATTTGAACTGAGTTTATGTCAAACAAGTGCCAGCATATCGTTGCTAACGGTTTTCTGATGATTCGGTGTGAATAGCTTTTTGTTGGTATGTCTCCATATTTTATGATAATTAGTATAGTTAGATAGAACATTCATAGTAGATTGCCCGCCTTTTCATTCGATGGAATTTCGCTGTGCACTACTTACTGAGTCTAAGTCGTCATCAGTTCCTCCGTCTTCGTTCGTACAGCAACCTAATCTGGATTACTCTTTAGGCAAACTACACCCGAAGCTACATTCCTCGTGCGAACAAATCCTAGATAATAGAAGCCACTGTGAATCTGCTGAATTATAATTAGCTTTATTGTTACTATTTCCAATGCTATCGACATCTGACCACGCACTAACGCAGTGTTCGCCATTTTCTTTTTTGTTTTTGAAGTGCGGCAATCGATTCGTCACATTGTGCTAGCACCGCAAAAACATCTTCAAGCGCCACTATTAAACATCTTCAGGATCGTTATCCGCATCCCGTAGAAATCATGCCACTTATGCTTATACCTATGCTAAACTCTGATCTATCAAGATTTTGATTACGAAAAGATAGTAGATCTAAGAAAAGTAGACGAAACGAAAGCCATAGCTAGATATAGTAACAACAAGTAGCAAACAGGTAGACTATGAAGAAATACACATCCTCCCTTAAACAGCTTTCAATTCAACTAACGAAAATGATAAAGTATTTCAACATAAAAAAAAAAATAAACCCGATTCGATGATTTACATCAGACATTTATATCAGCTGACTGATGAGTGCTGTAGTTGTACGTGCGTGTGCTTCTTGGCCGATATGCCTTTTTAGGAAGTGCTGCTGAACCTTCTTAGGCCTCGTAGGTTCAGTCGAGCCGTCTGCATTTCATATACCCCAGGATTCCTGCTATTCTCGTGGGATTATGGGCAAGCGGCGTTTTGAGAATCTGCTGATCGACCTTGCAAGAACATCTACACACCCATTCCTTGAACTAAAAGAGTGGAAGGCAGCTGGTCCCGTTGATCGAGTGCAGTCCACCCACGAATACACTATTAAGCCATTCCGAGTGCCCCTTATATGACGGGATAGCGCGAATTACGCCGGCCTATACTTAACACAATAACACAGGATAACGGCAACAACAAATGATATACAGCTTACATTTGTCGTGGCATACGCCAACACTCGGAAACAACTCTGTTCTCTATTCTACAATCACTATGTCCGAATGAATCATGACTACGCATCATTAATGTTTGCGAATGGTGTGCAACAACTGTACCTAAGGCAGTGTCCATGTATGTCGCCCGATGAGTAACAGATGAATACATGTCGCTTGTCAGATCGCTACTCTAAGAACTGATCCAGCAGGTAAATGGCGGCGTTCTAACGGCATGCTTAGTACCAGTATCAGACTAGTCAACAGAAGAGTTTGTGAACTATTTGAAAAATGTGTAAGTTGGAGAATGAATTAGGGGGTCTCGTTGCGCTTCTGTATTATCGACTGATGGAACTGGAAGGACAAATGTCAAACTTAAAAGCAAAGTAGAAGCATGTAGCTTTTGGTGATGGTGGTTGATTGTGAAATACGGAACATTTCCAAAAAACCCTCGAGCAGCCCAACCTTTCTCTCGTCATAATAAACAACGCCAGTGGTGGAAAAAGCCGGCGATGGGTCACGCAGACCAGTTCGATCACTCGGGCTACGACCAACAGGCCCGTAGTTACACTTGCCCGTCCCGGCGATCGAGGACTTCGTGAAGCATGTTCCAGCAGTACCGGTGGGCTGGCCCCAGTACGCGACACCATTGAATTACCACAGGCGCCCGCGAGGACATTCCGGATCTTACAGTGAAACTGGACTTTGAGAAGACGTTAAAAGCTGCATAGCAGAATCTTCGGGGACCGCACTGCCGGTGCATCTTTCTGCCGAAGCCCTGGACGGCATAGACACGTATGCTAACGAAGACTTGGGAAACTAGATTTTTTTAACTTATGTCATTTCTATTGTGTACGCTGACGTACGCTAAAAACCGATGGACCATGCAGTCGTAATGAGGGCGTCTCCGTTTTCTACTATCATAAGAAAGGCGATCTGAGTAGTAGGGAATCAATGGCCAGCGGCTAAATCTAGTAGCAATCTATGTTCAAATCAAAATCAGGACTGACGTGCGTACTGATGGAGAACCTCGTCAGTCGGTTGAAGGCTCCATTCTCTCATTCTGCCTCTCTCTGGCCATTGCCGATGATCAATCCTACCTTAACACCGATTTTTATAGGACATGCAGGAAGTTCAATTATCAATCTATTTGCGACGAACGCAACCAGAAGTAGAAGGAAATTCCAGGGTGAAAATCATTTTCTCTCAGAAAGCGCAAACGTCCATGTCCATATACCGATGGCGATAAGCCTCACTGCAAGTTCCATCGACGCGGACCGTCAAATGCCAAGTTCTATCATGAAGCCTACATGTAGACAAGTTTCTGGAACACACTTACAAAGCTTTTCTCGAACTTGACACGACGAGTACTGAAACTTATGCTTAGCAACTGGTTGTGGATTTTTAGTCTATAGCCTGTCCAGCCGATTAGCCGAGGTATAGCCCGAGTTTTACCCTTCAGCACCAATTCTTAAGACACTTCGGAGAAAAACATATACATCGTAACGGAAACAATAACTTGAATGGCTGGACAGCTTCAGTCGCCAATAGAGAACTTAAATGATACAGGCGGTTAACGCACCATGGTAGCTCAGTGGCTGGTTAACTCGTCAGCCCTCATAAATAATTTCTCAAATGTGTTTGCGATTTCTGGAGATGGGATACCGTGCACAGTGTCCTTTTTCGCTGTAGCAACAATACAACGTGATATCCCTTAACACAGCTTCAAGGTGCGGGACAGGATGGAAGTTCTTGGGACCTTACTCAACGAAAAAGTCACCGGCCCAGATAGGATCTACAACAAACATCTCAAATGCGCCGTTGCTTTGGCACCGTTCTGGATGGCACTGTTTAATAAACGTTTACTTACTGGTACATTCCCAGCACAGTGTAGAGATGCTGCCCTGTTAGTGATCTCTGAAAAGAAGGGCGACCCAACCACGCTGTTATTTGGTAGAAAACATCGAACAAAGGCTGCTCTCCTCTTGTTAACTAATAAGCCGAACAGCTGCTTAGAAAGCGTAGAAGCAGCATTGATTCCGGAGATAATGTCCACAAAAACAGCGTGCAAGATCTTCATGACCGACGCTAAGAAAGCACTGGTCACTTATCACTGGTAATCAGCTATATGCGGTGTTCGCCGACTTCCAAGTCAGCTTTTGACTTAACACCTACGTACATCGTTATGTTCAGGTGGCCAAACCGGGTGTCCCTATGAATGCGTTCAAGCCTTTCACTGCAATTCTACAGAAGAGCAGAATAGCCGTCGACGACGTAGTGGTCCTACTCCCGTCTTTCACACAGACAACTGGGCTGGCTCAGGTGGACTACCTGAGCCTTCTTTTATTTTTCATTTTGCTGAAGGCGCTTTCTGACCACATAGGAGGGCCGAGGAGATTAATCGAAGTCATCTTGTATGCAGACGGTTTACTGATATACGGGTTGAACAGATTTCAAGTGCAACAGGCTCTAGCCCGGCCCTACGCGGCAGTTCTAGATATGGCACTGACCGTAAACCTGGCTAAAACGGAGCTGGTATAAAAAATATAGAAGGGGAGGCAAAACAACAGCCACTAAAGCCTTATGCCTCGCCTGGTCGCCTTTGGTTTATGTAAACCGATTTCCATACCCGATAAGGGAACCTTCAACACCAACTAGGTGCAAAAATTTGCGGAGATGGATAAAAGTTTCTGTGCGGCAGGTACGATGAAAGACCACAAGCGGAAAAGAACGAACCAGCCAAACAGACACGTCTTCACTCGCTTTGCCTTGTGTGAGTTTGCAGAATACCGGACTTCCGTGAACATAACGATACATTTATGTAAATAGATATCATGCCACTTGTTGCTATTTGATACCATTTTCAGAATATCTGGCAAATCTATAACTTTGTTTTATAAACTCAACGGTGTTTTTTAATCGTTCTATACGCTGTCTCTGTATATATATTTCTGTAACTAAGAATTAGCTAGCATATTATGTGTCTCTAGCGAGACTTGCCATTCCAACACTGGGAGTGCTATGAAGAAAGTCCGTGTATTCGTTCTGTCATAGTGAACTCTTAAAGCTGTCTTTGAGATATATTGAATGTATAACGAAGGTCTTCACGCTACAGCTAGCTGTGGGCCTGAAGTTGGCCGTGCCGTCTCATTGGCGATAGCGTCTTCGCGGCAGACCGAGGCTTCACAAACCTAGGTTTCGCACTTAGTCCCTTCTTATACACTATTCCATTCGAACTATGTTCTGCCACAAAAGGCTCACCAAACTAATCTTGTGAAAATGGGTTTATCATTAAATGGTGTAACTTTCTCTTAAAGCCAAACATGTATCGATTTAGGGATGGATGCATTTTTCCGAATCACCCGGCCAGTACGAGTACCCGTAAAATATTATATCTCCGATTCTTAAAGCTGTGTTCAGCTGTAAGATTTCTAGATGGAAGATAAACGGGGAGAAGTGCGTCTGCTTAACTGCAGCCATGCGTGGCTGATGCACCCGTACCGCTCGATCAGGTCCATTGTTTTTGCGTTAGTGCGTTCATATTCTAGTAGGCCTTTGAGCACCTTACAGGGGTCACCACTACCAGGCACCCAAGATCGCCCTTAGAGCGTAGCCGAATCTATCGTAGCCTCAATTCGTGGTAAAATCATGGCAAGTGGCACACATCTTTTGATCAGTCTGCTCTAAAAGCCTATTCTGTATCACAATCGAAAAATGAAAATATTCTGAAGGAAACGTATAAACTGTTCTGATCATATATATGCGTCATGTTATCTTGTGTAACCATTTTAAATTAGAACCGTATAGGGTCGTCTTGACCCTTAACGAGGCAGCTACCTATCTGCATGTTATCAATCTGTCAATCTGACGTCTGCTAGTATTTAACGCCCATCCCTCGATATGCGACTAGACAAACCATATGTTGTCATTTGGCATCGCCTTGTGAATGCCTTTCAGATATTATCGCCTATGTCGAATCTTCAGCTAGCGACTGATGTAACGAAAAAGGGTTTAGCTTTGATATCGCTCAAGACATCTAACGGACACGTTCAGCCGTTGCAGATTTGTGCACTGTCTACAAGCCCTTTTCATTAAGCATATTATTATTTCACTAAACAGCAGAAAGGTAACTATTTTGTCTAAAGAAATGAATGATAACTCCAAAACAAATAACTAATAGACCCGTACGAGCTTATTAGCCATGCGCGTATATATATATATATATATATCACGGCACTGGTGACATCTTACCAGTTTGTCAGTATGCCTATTTTAAATATAGACCATGAGACACACAAATTAGTGGAGGCGTACACACCGTAAATACATATAAACCGTATATATGTTAGGGTCTTGCTGACAGTAGTTACATCTAAACGTCGTAACTAGCCAATGTTTCTGTAGCACGAATCTGGAACTATTAAGTGCAATTGCTGAAATAACTCAACTAGAACGTTAGCTTTAAAATGTATGCTTTTTGTGCTCTAACTATGATTTTGATAAACAGACTATGTATACCTATCTATTCTAGATCCTTTAGGTAATAGAAATATTTGACCGGCTGTTCCACAAATAGGAACCTGAAAGTACGTGGCAGTCTCAGCGAGAACTACTTTCGGTCTGTGGTTGGTTGGTGGGGCGATCTTCTATGGTGATGTCACCTGCTGTACTATAATGATGGTCAATAGGGTGGGATGGTAAAACAATAGGACGGTGCCTTAATGCGCGACAATAATCGACCCCGAAACGCCATGAAACCACGAGCAAAAAATCGTCTTCGATGGCCATGACTCTGTCAGAGAGCATTTCGCTTCTTGCTGTCGACAACAGCGAACGAGTCATCGTGTCAGATGCTGACCCATATGGACCCTAAAATTGACATCAAACAAAAAAGAGTATTTCTTTGACAGAAATTTTTGATACATAAATCCAACCAAAGGTCGAGCATTTAGGCGCGCTTCGGCATACCAAGCTGTATTTATATTTTTTAACTTAAATCTATAGAAACGAACTGAGTGGTATATTTATCTAATTTACCTGTATGTTAAGCCTAAAAAAATGAACACTGCTCAAGTGGTGCAAGTGTCAGCATTTTATTTGAATTGTATGCCTTGTTTACAATATTTCTTAGCAAAAAGTTATTAGCAATTAAAATATTAAGTCGACTATTAGAAATACGATGCTTAGTCTAAGTAGAAACGTTTTAGTTATTGAATACATTTTGTAATCAAAAAAACAAACGGTGTGTTCTTTGGCAAAGATTGCATATACTATGCATAGCAATCTGTAATTCCTTTGCATGTGAAAACCGGGTTTCTCCCTATTTTTATCCCTTATTTTACGATAGGTTATCGCTAGTCACCAATATCGGTCTCGAAAACAATCTATTTGGATACCCGAAATTATAGTAGAACTCACTAATCGCGTTCCTTTTTCACCCACACTGCATCAGAAACGCTCGTCAACAATCGGTTAAATCTATTTCGATTGTGCTTGTGTCCATAGATGGCGGGCTTCTTCGACTAAGGGGCCCCTCTCGGGGCTCTCGGCACGACTCATCACATCAGGCATCAGCACGAGATTCGCTTGTACTCACGCTGACGTGCCAGCGTCTCTCGGGACCAAGCTGTCTGAAGGTACAACTTTTTTTTTTCTTGAAATACCACCAACGTTCGCTAGTTAAGCAGTTGTGTACGCTTTCTTTCTTTTTTTTTTTTTGTTACCGCACTTCTCCTAAGTATGTGGAGAAAACAATCACGCAACTATTTCGACAGCAAATATATTAGTGAAGCACATTGAACGGTGCCCTCTTTATATCAATGGTACATGACGAGGATAAATAGACAAAAAGAAACTATCTGGTTTGTTTATACATTTGTGTTGTTCTCTCAAAATACTTAGATACTTCGTACGTAGTAACATTAAATTTTTTTTTAGTTCGGGAGCAACGACACGACGTGACATTGGATCGTAACTGTCACCAGCAGTTACTCTGTTGATCGCACAGCAGTTCATTCACATATCATATGATATCAACGTTTAACGATGCCTGCTGTGCAGGCAACCATGGACAGCGAACGGACTTACCCGCCACAATAGCTCACTAGTCATATTCGTATTTCGCGCCTATTTTTTTGTTTTTTATAAATACTGTATTGAGCTGATGGAAAGGCATCTCGAAGCGCTTTCGAAAGCCTATTAACTACATAGCATTTTTATTTACTTTCGCTTTGTAGATGTAGATATGTATGTTGAAAAACCATGAATGGTTAGTTTGACTTTACCCGTAAGCATAATTTGGTACTTGCAAAATCAGCTTTACTTTCGATAATTTTAACGATTTGCCCGAACGATTAAACGCTAAAAAGTGAATTTCGAAATTATGCAATTCAACTGGCATTCAAGGGCGAAGAATATTCTACTCAAGTGGTTACTTCAAACGTCGGGTTAATCATAATTCAATCTCACGTTGGCCGTGTTATCACTAACTAGTTAGATTAATAAACGAATGCGTTTTTCATTATAGGATTAAGGAATGATGTATATAAAATCGTTTACAGCAAGGAACTGGACTTGGGCTTCTCGATATGGTCTCATCAACATGGTGCATATATTCACATCTCTCAAACGTAAAGTTTAAAATAATGTTAAATGTGACCTTACAATTTACTTGTTAATAAATAAACTAAGTTAGCAATTGACACAAATATGTCAATCTAAAGATGATTTAATAAGGAACGTCTGTTTTAGTACTATCTACCATGTTTGTTTTGATATTTACTTCGATTTTCAAGGGATGCTTAGTGAAAGTCTTCTGTTAAAATTCAGCTGTCAACCTTTTTCTTTCTCGGACTTCTTTTTACATAGTTAAGCAAAAACTGAAAGGAAGTAGTTTGGAGTAGCTCTTCCTATTCATTTCATTCAAGATAAATTATATCATTGGATGCCGCAAATTATTTCATACTGCACACGATCCATGGTTCGTATCAGATATCGACGGTGCACACGAAATACTACTAGAATAATTTGTCTGCACATCATCGCGCGATTGATTTGGTTCCAGCAGCATTCCCTTGTAGATCATTGTCATCATCCGAGGCAGTGAGCCAAATGAATTCATCGTTAACGTTTTAATGGGAAAGCTATCCTAATGGCAGGGCAAGGAGTCGTAGGAAGTTTCGTTAGGTGAAATAACGGAAAAACGAAGAGTTGGATCCATTTCTTGGAAGGGAACGCTTGCGACCGGGTTGGCGGGTTACAGGACAACTGTCGCACCGTTCTCTATAAGGTAAGCACGGGATCTGCAAGTGGACGTAGGAAAAGAAAGGGAAAAAATGGGCCGCTAAGATGAGTTTAGCTCTACGGGCTACTGCCTTGCAATGGACCCTGCGCTCCACTTTTATCTGCTGAAACTAGACGCCGGTTCCCGCCCCCAC